TCGAGTAGAGACGTCGGCGAGTTGGTCGTCAATCCAATACAACTTATTAGAAGTTAAACATACAGAGAAGTAAACGATATTTAGTAAAAAAACACTGGCGAACATTGGTGAACATCAAACAGAAGCTTAAACATCGGTGAACATTGGTGAACATCACCAATGACTATAACAGCTTAAGACGCGAACGAGTTATTGTGCGACAACAACACCGTAAAGACTCATCATGTCAATCGCTCATATTTTTTAACGAAAACTTGGCTTTCTAGACGAGATCTTTAGTAAAATGCAATTATTTTTATTTGCAACAAAGTTTATAAGGATCTTAAGGCGAATAAAGCGAAGTAAACCTCACCAACGACTCTAACAGCTTTGCAAAGGCGCCGAATTCGTGTAACTATGTTGATAATACAAGATACACTGATCAAAGCAATGATTTCTAGTTTTTGGTTGTCACACAATAACTCGTTCGCGTCTGAAGCTGTTAGAGTCGTTGGTGAGGTTTACTTCGCTTTATTCGCCTTAAGATCCTTATAAACTTTGTTGCAAATAAAAAGAAATGCTTTTTACTAAAGATCTTGTCTAGAAAGCCAAGTTTTCGTTAAAAAATCTGACCGATTGTCATGATGAATCTTTACAGTGTTGTTGTCATACAATAACTCGTTCGGGTTTGAAGCTGTTAGAGTCATTGGTGATGTTTACTTTACTTTATTCGCCTTGAGATCCTTATAAACTTCGTTGCAAATAAAAAGAAATGCTTTTTACTAAAGATCTTGTCTAGAAAGCCAAGTTTCCTTTAAAAATCTGACCGATTGACATGATGAGTCTTTACGGTGTTGTTGTCACACAATAACTCGTTCGCGTCTTAAGCTGTTATAGTCCTTGGTGATGTTTACTTCGCTTTATTCGCCTTAAGATCCTTATAAACTTTGTTGCAAATAAAAATAAATGCTTTTTACTAAAAATCTGAGCGATTGACATGATGAGTCTTTACGGTGTTCTTGTCGCACAATAACTCGTTCGCGTCTTTGGGAAAATGGCCATTTCATCTGAAAATCTAAAGCTAAGGATGTTTCAAGAAATAACAAAACATGATAAAATCTACATAAAACATGATCAAAGGAATATGAACCAAATCATTTGGCTGATATCAATAGATGTGCCTGGGGAAAACCTTTTCTTACAGTTGGTTCTGCACATTCAGTATTGTGATCTTGACAACATAACCCAAGCAAGAGCAACATATTGTACTAAATGAAACCCATGAAAATTTCTCATGCGATACTGACTTTTACAGAAAAAAAATTTTTTTTCATCTTTCCTGGCATATTTAATTTGCAAACATTATATTGCAAATTCTATTGTGCTCATCAAAATTACCTTAGACAAGGCTAATTGATTATGGTAAAAATATCCTTTTTCTTCTCAGAACTTTTAACCCTTTACACCCTAACATCAGTATGTATATTCTCCTTACAATTATCTAAAAATTTCCTATGATGCTGAAAGGAGAATTTGCTTAACAATCAAGAGCTTCTACAGTTGGTGATTATCTCTTTTATCCTCATAACCTTAATGTTTAATTCACAGGTGATATTGTAGGGGGAAATTTGATGCTGATCACAATTGGAGGTTAAAAAGTTAAATGTGTACCACTTGTTCTTAGTTTTTTTTACCTGCATAGTTCTGTGACACTTTTTTGGGCAGTAATACATTGGTTAATTAAAGCCCTCTCAGGTGGGCAATATTGTATTTATTCAGCTGTAATAAGTTTCCAGTTGCAACAATAACCCGAAACTTGAGAAATTGACAATGTCAACATGTCAGTTTAAAAGACCCATCATCAGTCTTAGTGATTCACACATGCACAGTAAGAGAGAAAATTCTGTCAACCGACTTAGAGTAAAGCTAAAAATCAATTTAAATGATGAACAAACACTGTGAAAAGGATGCACCAAAACACTTTGACATAAGATGCACTCCCAGTTTTAGATCTTTTTTCCATGGGAAAGGAAAATTTTCAGTGCACCTAACAAACAAATAACCATCATACAATCATCTGTATATTGATCCTTACAAATGAGTAGCACTTTAGATTATCATTTTGAAGTGTACATTAAATTCTTTTTTAAAAATACTTTAAGTATAAAACAAATCCCACAGCAAAGCAATGAATAATCTTCATTCCACGACAAAATCAAAATTTATCATCTTTCTTATTCTCCCATGATGCTTTGCAAATAGCTGATCCTTGCAGAATACAGTGTGCATGTCACATATGAACTTAATTTTGGCCTACTTTGTTTTACTGCCAGAAAAAAATGCCAAATTTTTTTAAAATGAGAATAATGAACCTTTAGATCAAGTGTAATAAATCATTTAAAAGGTATTTTTGGGTTATGCTATAAATGACACCAACAGGTGTGGAGGTGGTAACTGAAAAGACAGAGAAGTGTTAAGACTGAAAAATGGAAAACAAAACTTTTCTTTTTCCAGGTACATA